GTCCCACAAGAGTGTCCTACAAGAGTGTCCCACAAGAGTTTCCTACAAGAGTGACCCACAAGAGTGTCCTACAAGAGTGTCCCACAAGAGTGTCCTGCAAGTGACCCACAGGAGTGTTCTACAAGAGTGTCCCACAAGCGTGTCCTACCAGACTGTCCCACAACAGTGTCCCACTAGAGTGTCTCAAAAGAGTGTCCCTTAAGAGTGTCCTACAGGAGTATCCCACAAGAGCGTCCTACAAGAGTGTCCCACAAGAGTGTCCCACAAGAGTGTCCCACAAGAGTGTCCCACAAGAGTGTCCTACAAGAGTGTCCACAAGAGTGTCCCACAAGAGTGTCCTATAAGAGTGTCCCACAAAGAGTGTCCCACAAGAGTGTCCTACAAGAGTGTCCCACAAGAGTTTCCCACAAGAGTGTCCAACTAGACGACGAGTGGCCCGAAAGCATTTTTCATCACGTAGGAAGTCAGAGTGCGAGTTATCTGTTAAGTGTGCAGTGTGAAGTGTTAAGTCGAGTGAGTTGAGGTAGTGTGTGGGTTTCTGTGCGTGTATCTATGTCCGTGTGTATATGAGTCTACGTATGTGTGTGTGTGTGTTCGTGTAAGTTGAGGCAGTGCGTGGGTGTCTGTGTGTGTGTGATGCGGCTGAAAAAAGCAAGCTGGAATGAAGCGCACACTGTAGCACTAAAATTGCACTACAAAGTCGCCAGTTCTCATCTTCCAGCTCCACAGATTGCTCCGCGTACTCAAGTTGTACTACCAAGTCGCCAGTTCTCATCTTCCAGCTCCCCAGCTACTCCGCGTACTACAGTTGCACTACAAAGTCGCCAGTCAGTGCTCATCTTCCAGCTCCCCAGATACTCCGCGTACTCAAGTTGTACTACCAAGTCGCCAGTTCTCATCTTCCCACTCCCCAGCTACTACAGTTGTACTACCAAGTCGCCAGTTCTCATCTTCCAGCTCCCCAGCTACTCCGCGTACTACAGTTGTACTACAAAGTCGCCAGTTCCCAGCTTCCAGCTCCACAGATTGCTCCGCGTGCTAAAGTTGTACTACAAAGTCGCCAGTTCTCAGCTTCCAGCTCCCCAACTACTCCGCGTACTACAGTTCTACTACAAAGACACCAGTTCTCATCTTCCCGCCACATACTCCGCGTACTAAGGTGTATTACAAAGTCGCCTGCATTTCGCACAGGGTTGCGCGCGCATACAGACTCAATCGCACTCTCGCCTGCATTTCGCGCACTCGACACGCACGATCTCCGCAGAGGGTTGCGCGCACACCGGGCGAATCGCGCTCTCGCCTGCATTTCGCGCACTCGACACGCACGATCTCCGCAGAGGGTTGCGCGCACAGCCGGCAAATCGCGCTCTCACCTGCATTTCGCGCACTCGACACGCACGATCTCCGCAGAGGGTTCCGCGCGCCCCGGGCAAATCGCACTCTCGCCTGCATTTCGCGCACTCGACACGCGCGATCTCCGCAGAGGGTTGCGCGCGCACCGGGCAAATCGCACTCTCGCCTGCATTTCGCGCACTCGACACGCACGATCTCCGCAGAGGGTTGCATTTCGGTTGACGCTGTTCGTCCCACCCTCCGCCTTTAAGAGAGAATTTATAAAGTGGGGAAATGTTTTTCATTAGGACATCTCCCGTGCTAGTTTTCCAGGCTGCTAGCATACTCATTGCATGCTTGCATGCTCATCATTAGACTTGCATACTTTGACACTTGCATACTTTGCACTTGGATGCTTTCGCTCTTCCAGTGTGTGTGTGTGTGTAAGTGTAAGTGTCGAAGTGTCAGTGTTCAAGGGATTTTCCGGAAGAACCCTTCGCAATGCTTTCGGGCAAAAGAGTGTCCCACAAGAGTTTCCGACAAGAGTGTCCTACAAGAGTGTCCTACAAGAGTGTCCCACAAGAGTGTCCTACAAGAGTGTCGTGTAAGAGTGTCCCACAAGAGTGTCCTGCAAGTGACCCACAAGAGTGTTCTACAAGAGTGTCTCACAAGAGTGTCCCACAAGAGTGTCCTACAAGAGTGTCCCACAAGAGTGTCCTACAAGAGTGTCCCACAAGAGTGTCCCACAAGAGTGTCGTATAAGAGTGTCCCACAAGAGTGTCCCACAAGAGTGTCCCACAAGAGTGTCCCACAAGAGTGTCCTACAAGAGTGACCCACAAGAGTGTCCTACAAGAGTGTCCTTCAAGAGTGTCCAGAAGAGTGTCCCACAAGAGTGTCCTACAAGAGTGACCCACAAGAGTGTCCTACAAGAGTGTCCAGAAGAGTGTCCCACAAGAGTGTCCTACAAGAGTGTCATTTGGACATATTAGTTTTTCGAACGTGTTTGCATTCGGGTTCGTGGGTTCCATCTTGTTTTTTTTCTGGATCTGGTCTATTTCCTTCCCGTGTCCACCCTCCACGCCCCAAAACACTTCCGACGTCCAGCAGCTCCATTAGGACAGCGACTTGTTGTCACTGGGTTTGGGCCCGGAACACGTGAAGCGCCTCCACGACGAGCTGGTGCGACTGCTGGAGCTGGCGGAGAAAGGCGGAATCCGCGCGTCGCGTGTCATGCGCGGACGCGTGGTTAGGTCGACCCAAGTCGAGCCTAGGCGGTGGGTCGAGCATAGGGCGGTGTTGACACTGGAGGTCTGGGGCGTGTTTTGCAGATCTTTCACCGGAGTTCGCCCTGGAGTGGGGCGGTCACTAAAGGCGCCACGAATCGAATTGGAACGAACAAGAAACCATGTGGGAAGAGAGCAGAAGTCACTGAGTCCCGACGCCACGGACACAGTGCCGGGCATTTTTCCGGTCGCCGAAAAAGGCGCTGCGAAGCCCCGTGCCATGGTGCGGGCGATGCAGATGCTCTACTTGGCCGACTCAGCTAGCGAGGCCGGAGGATACTTCGTTGTGGCTAGGCCTCAGGTGATCAGGCAGGACGTGACAGTGACAAAGCAGGAACTAACAGATTTTGGCAGAAACAACACATAGGCCCGAAATGCATTTTTTAATATACGAACATGCTGAACACGCACTCTGAGTTTGTCAGGTCATTAAAACTGCGAAGGATTGGGGTTCACCGCCTTAGATGGTAGAGCTACTGTGGCACATGCATGTGTATGTGTGTGTGTGTGAGGACATCGCCTACGACAGATTGAACCAATTAGCTGTGCCGTGTCAGAACGGAAAAATCATGAAACATCAAAATCTCTCATTATTCGCTCTGAATCATCTCTGGACATCTCCAAGACTGTATGGTGGTGCTATCAAAACGATCCCTGTCAGGCGTGTGAGGTGCAACAAAAGCACAATGACGTTGGACAGGACTCCTGGCCCCAGCGTTGCCCACGATGCCAGGCCATCGCTTCGCTGAAGCCCGAGACTGCGGACGAGGAAGCACTGCAGCAGCTCTCCGAACGCCGCTGGGTGAGGAGAGAGCAGAGGCAGAGGAAGCAGAGGTGCCAATAAGAGTGACTAGTGGCTGACCATCCAAAAAATCATGTGTGATGTTTATCGATATTGTATCTTCAGCCAAAATCAATCTCAGTGACGTGCTGGTTTGGTGGTTTGAAACGACTGTCCATGAACCTATATTGCACTCCTTGGCTTGAACTTAAGTAAGCTACTAAGTGACTCCATGACAATGATACGTTTAAGGTGACCGATAGACAAAACGGATGAGTCTGTGGATTGGGAAGAAAAGGTAAAAAATTGGGGCAACTTGAAGATATGAGGGCATAAGTGTTACCCTTATAACTTATAATCCCTTACAGACTATATTTCAATATATATTTCATGTTGGAATAATATTTCCTTTTGATTATGAACAGTTTCGCCCACCAACAGCCACTTCAACCAACCAGTAACTCTTCAGTCCGGATGCTCTGAACAGAGGCAGACCTCAGCTGAATACTGAAGGCCCAGATTGGAACTTGTCCGGTCCACATCTTGTTTTTGGACCCATTCATCACCACACTAAACTGCCAATTGAACCCGTGTTCACCGCCTTCCGATCGATGATTGTGTCTGATTGTGCAAGGCCCGGCCCGCTCGTTCCATCGCTGCGGCAGGATGGGAGACGGCCTGATTCTTCCCAGACGGTCCCAGACGGTCCGCATCCGCCGAGGTACAGAGGAGTTTGCTCCGGCGCTGGAAGCCATGCGCTCGTTGGTTCGGGACCCCAGGACCTGGGCGGCGTGGGCGGTGGGTTTTCTTTAAAGGTCCCCCACAAAAGGTGCTGGCTGACAGGTAGGACAGGTGTTTTTTTTCATGAAGACTGACATGATTGGAAGCCCCAGACTCCATCAACAGGCCAGAGATGGAGGTGGAGTGGAAAATGGTCCGGATGCAATGCTTGTCCAAGGATAAAACAAACACAAGTTGATACAAGTTGGCAGCTTGGGGTCAAGGCTGGGGAGTTGTGTGTAGACATTTTTTCGTTTTAAGGTTCTCAGATTGTGCTTTGTTTTCTGCTCTTGCTGTTCCAATTGGTCTTGCTGCCACTCAAGTGGTTTTATCGTTGGTCGCTCCAAACTCCTTCCAACGACCCGACACGAGGCGGCCGGACGTAGACCGAGGCCGGTCGACACGTTCGGACGGTGGACCGAGGCCGTGGACCGAGACGTTTTCTCGCACCTGGCAGATGAGTGGGTGGAAGAGCATGGCGAGGCCCACCGGATGCGTTCGCGGGGCGTTTCGGTCCGGCTCGTTGAAGAACAACACTGGGCGGGTTCATGCGTTCGCGGGGCGGCGAACCGGCGCGCGAGCGGGTTTTAGGTTGAGGAAGCTGCTGTGATTTCTTTTTGTCTTGTCCCTTCTGCAGGTTGGGGAAGCTGAGGAAGCTGCTTGAACATTTGTGAGGATGGAAGGTCGAGGTTGGGTTGAGGTGTTGGAAAGATCCACTGTTACAGGTATTAGGATAGACTCAAACTAGTACCCAAACAATATATATAATATATGTATAAATATATTATGTATAGTCGCAGTCAGGTGCTTGTTGTCTTGAAGGATTCCAAAGGATGACACCCACGACCCTGGAAACGAGGGATTGACCTGTGTGAGCGAGGCCATTTCTGAGAGGAAGCACATTCAATTCCAGGAAGCACCGTCACAAAGCCTGAGACAACAAAATGGATCACAGCAACCTAGCCGTCTATTTGTATCGTGACAGACTTCGAAAGGCGCAGCGCGTTGTGCTGCGGACCTGTCCCCAGTTTCGGACCTGTCCAGGTCCATCACTCCGAAAGCGAGGCCTCAGATCTCAACAAGGTGAGGCCTACTCCATTGCCGGTCGGAGCGCCACTCGTGCGCTTCGAAGTACATCGAAGTACGCTGCTTTCGTCGGTGTTCGGTCGCGTGCTCGAGCCGGAAGCACAGATCTGCATGTGGCCGGGGCATGAGGGAAGTTTCATTCGATCCTTGTCCTCATTCCTTCACTCACTCAACGAGCATCAGTGACCACAGTGACCTCGTCGAAGCATGTCAAGGCAGCGCACGATGTCCACGCCATAGACCACCAGAAAGCGATTCAATCATCCCGTCAAATTCATTGTGGAACGGGAAAAGGTAGCTACCATCGCCATGGGCCAATCCTGTTTGACCATGACCCTTGTAAGGGTAGAACTATGATACTATTCTCTATATATATATATGTATATATCCTAGACACTCCATGTATGCCATATATTTGCCTACATTGGGGTTTGGGGGGTCAATGTAGGCATATATCTGGTATACATGGAGTGCTTGGGTATGTTTCATGTTTTGCAGCATCATCCAAGACTTGCCTTACAAAACGGTTCGATTTGTCACAGAGACGTACATCATGTTGATGACCTGACGTAGGTCCTCAAATCACGAGACACTTGCACCCCTTTTTGGGTCCTCCTGCTGCAGATTACATTGGACGGACAGGTCCTTCTGTTTTGCCCGGAATCTCCATGTTCGTGCCGCCATGGTGGGCTCGCTTTGCGTCAAGCCGCGTTTGCCACCAGGAACTGGGGAAGAAGGAACCGGCGCCAGTCGCGGGTGGCCTCAGCTGGAGCACGAGATCGAAGTGAAGTGAAATACCCACTGGGTGGAGAGGAAGCTCCAGGTCGGTTTTTTGTTCAAGGTCCATCGATTCATGTCGTTGAGCTAGCTGGTAGTCAGGTCAGAACAGAGATCCATTTTGGCTTATGCTCCCAGATCAAACTGTTCCAAGGACGACAGATCGATGGCTGTTGCCGGAACCGGGGCAGTCAGAGGAGGCCTATAGTTTTGGGAGGTCGAACATCGTGAGACCTCGGTGTCATCCCACACAGAATCCATCCGGCAATCTAGAGGGGGAGGCGCACGATGATGACACGTGTGGAGCGAAGATATGCTGTCGGTGTCCCACTTTGTCAGCTGAAGTTTGCTGTGAAAGCCACTTGAGGTGCTGCCTAGTGGTTGGCGCATGGAGTGGGTGAAGAGAAAAAAGAAGGACAATGCGACGGGAACCAAGTTGGGAATGGTGGTCCATTGCAAATCACCCTGCATAGCTAGCCTAATCCAGTTGAATTTCATGCGTCACAGAGCAAATCAGAGAATTATGAGCAAGCAAACCCTATAGAAAAAAAGACAAAGATTTTCCGAGAAAAAGAAGCGGCGGCGGTCTTAAATGTTTAATTATTGTGTTCAAAGGTTTTTGTTCAAAGGTCTTGGCAATGCGCATTGGAAAACGGTCAGACCGACTGTGGTCGCTCGTTTGCCAAGTCTCGAGATTCTGCGTCGCTCGTCTCACCGAGATCGGAGCACTCCGACAGGAGATGCGCGAGTTTGTGGACCACGAGGGGAATCGCTATCGAAGCGTCCGGGAGGTCAGGGATGTTTCTCCTTCTTCGTGTATACACGCGCGGGTGTACACTCGCGGAAAGCGCTGACCTGTATGTTTGCCTCTTTGATCCTCTTCGTTTGTGGGTATACCGTGAAGGCCTGGTCAATTTAATGGTACAGATCGAACGCATTTTGTTGGGCATGCTTTGTCCAGAATCTTGCCACAGTTGCTCATGTTGTTATACTTGCTTCAATCAGTGAATCTCCCAGTTCAGCATGTCATCCTGGTTCAATGGTTGAAAAAGCGTCGATCATTGAATCCCACGTGTACGGCAGTTCGAGCCTGCGGAAGAAGTTTGTTGAGCATCAAAATCTCTCTCACCTCGCCACACATATATCATCCCGGTTGCCACCGCCGCAGATATCCTATCATATCCTATCATCCCCGGCCGCTGCAGGTGCGCGCCGCTCTGTTGGAGTACGAGGCGCGGCAGGCCGCCCTCCAAGCAGCCCAGAAGGCCGCAGCGGAGGCAGCGGCCGCGGCGGCAGCGGCAGAGGTGGCGCCCAAGAGGCTAGCGGGGGGGGGGCAGATGCAGGAAATGGGATGGAATGACAATCCGGAGGATAGATGAGGGGATTTGTATGAACTTGGTGCAGATCTGGAGATGGAGAGTCGAAAAGAGATCATAATTAAGTCCGTGCAAATGGAGATTGGAGAAAGAACCAAAATCCGCCTGGGTCACTGGGTCAATGCGAGGATATGCAAAGTAGAAGAGCAGACCCGTTTGCTGGTTTGCCCGTTTCTTGAGGCGCCGCCTACGTGGGAAGTGCTCATCTGCAGCTTACGGTCTTCCAGGCGAAGCTGGGAGAAGATGAGATTGGAAAGTGGATGTGATTGGCCAGACCAAACGCCATAATATCATGTTTTCCCCATCTTATTGCTATTGAATGTAAGCGCGGGTGCCCTCCAGGTCTCAGAAGAACGCCAGGACTGGGGTTGGACCCCAGTCCCCGGTATCCCCATGTTCACCATTGAGACTAGGCTTAGCACATCTCCACGCTACAAGGCTCATCAAGGCTCCAAAACATCCACATTCCCGGGAAGCGGGTATGATTGGGTTCTTCGATCCATTTTCCACTTCAGCAGGCAGTCTCAGGTATTCCACCCCGGTGCCCAGACAAGACCCACGAGACCCACAAGACCCACAGGACCCGAAAGCAATTAATTCTCTTTTATTTGGCCACCGAACCTCCACCGGTTGGATCACTGAACGTCCGACCAGGCGCGGCTGGCGTCGCGCAGAGCATGGCCGCAGCGGCGCCGGCTCGCGTGGCCGCAGCGCCGGAGGAGGACTTCGCCGAGGAGCGGAGGAGCGTTTTGGAGGCAGTCCACAATGGTCCCGTACTATCCTGAGTGGTTTAGAGTTTAGAGAAAACTCACCCAAAACAATTCAAGACATGTTGATAGTTCCTATAGGTTGTGGGAAAGGAAAAGGGACCGAACCAGGTGTTGCACATCGCACAAAATGGAAGACCAGGATGACAAATTATTTTGCAGGGAGGTGGTTGGAATTTGGCAATGTTTGTTTGACACTTTTTGATACTTTTTGTACTTGCTTGAGTTGAGAATGAATGAGTAGTATTACTTTTTACTTTTAGTTATCCTTAAGCGTGTTGCCATTCCTTTTCTCCTCAACATATGTGCTTTCAGATGCACCTGGATGAATCTAAAGAAAGATCGCCCCCGTTCCCAACACAATGGACATGATGGACATCTATCAGCAATCGAAGTGCCAAACATCTTGTTTTCAGGGGAGGTTACACCATGTCATTTCTGTGAGTTGTCTTCTTCGGAGTGATTCATGAAGACTCCATGTTCTCATCCAGGCCGGTTCTCAGCATCGGTCGCCACCATCGAAACCGGTCCGATTGCGCCATGTCATCGCGAGACGCTTCTCACATCGCGAGACGACTGGTGTTGCTTTGGGCAACACCTTCTCAACTTCTCCTTCAGACCAACTCTTTCTCGCGTGACCAGCCATTGAAGCTCGATCATTGGGGCGAAGACGGTGTGCAACATGAGAGTGCAACATGTTGGTGGGCTCTTCCAGCATCTTCCAGTGATTTTTTTTTCCGGTGACTTGTGGACACCCTCCGGTGACTTGCATTGTGTTTTTGCCACGACGTCATGTTCACAGGACTTCAAATATCATATTCACAGACACCCTGGGACACCGTTCACGTCCAAAACCCTTGAGCTCCTGCTCCTTCCTAGGAGCTCATGAAAGCTCTTGGCCTCCCACCGGACACTCCATCCAAGTCTTCCACGGCGCCACCAGCACCGTCTTCTTCCGCCACGGCCGTGGCCCGGCGAGGAATGCAGTTCTGTGGTGATCCCAATAGAATCAAAAGACGGACCGGAAAATTATGTTTTGGAACCCTGGAAGATAAACATGGAACCTGAAAACCGCAGGGTTGTAGCGGAATATAGTCTTCGAAAGGGACAATTTTTAGGTTCCATGATAATCTTCCCGGGTGTAAACTCCAGTCTTTTTTGTAAAGCCTGCGTGGTGCTCGAAAATATTCCGGTGTTCCAAAAGGGATGCACAAAAGTCCAGGCTAACCATCTCTTGGGGGGTCACTGATTTGATTCTGGTTTGGCCTGCTGAACGTCATAAAAGTAAAAATAAAGCCACCAAGCACAGTATGCGTTGCATCTCATCCTCCACTGACTTATATTAAAGGTGCTCAGAATAGAATCAACATATATAATTTGTGTAAGCAATAGGCCACACCAATTATTCAAAATTATACCACGGGCATGTTTCAGGAATTTATAAACTTGGATTGCTTCCAGGGAACACACGCTCAAGGAAACCCAAAACGCTGGTTGAACCCCACCCAAACTGATCGGCTTCGCACGGACCAAAGACACCGCACCCGAGGGATCAAAGACACCGCGCACGGGGTGCAAGGCGAGGCACCAGATTCACTGTCAATGTCTTTGGGTTGAGACAGGGACATCGGTTTAGACCGGTGGAGGAAATTTCAAGATGTTCAATACCTCTTTTAAATGTGTTTCTTTTTGTCCATTCAAACTCTTTCTGGATTCCCCCCTTAATGCGTTGGACACTGGTCTTCCGGGCTCGCGTGACGTTCCACTTGCATGAATTGTTCTGGAGATTTCTCCATGTCCTAGCATAAATCATCAAAGTGTCCCTAAATATCTAGGAACCAAGTCATTGCTGTAGGGTGAGCTATCCTGCGTCCAAGAAGCTAACTAGTCGCCCTGAGCTTACTCAGCAAAACCACCACCCCTAGCCTACCGGGTTCACAGGTGCGCATCCTCACCGAGCAGCCCGAGCTCCAAGGGAAGCTCGCCCGTGGGGCAGCCCATAGAAGCCGTCGATGGGGAGCTGGTCATGCTGAAGCGAAGGATTTGGTGACCACGACACCATGGGTGACAACCTGGTTCCATTTTCATCATGAAGGCCCCATGTTTGCCGTTCTTTTATGGCCAGCATGACATGATGAATCATGATGAATCATGATGAATCATGATGACATGAGCTGACCCAAACCCAATGATGATCAACCACGGTCGAACATCGTTGAAAGCCAGTAAACGAAACACCTTCCGCTCGGGTGCAGGATCAAGAGACATCCGGAGCAGTCTGACATGCTGGAGCAAGGCGTTTGTGGATCAAAACTATTAATCTCATTGGCCCTTCTGGTTTGTCATGGACTGTTGCGAATAGTAGACTGATCGTCTAGAAGATCTTTTCAGGACTGAAGATCTCCGGTCCTTTGATTGTCGTCTATCAGCATGAGCTTTTAAGCAAACAATAATTTCCATACAACATATTATCACAATGCTTGAGGCAGCCCATTGCCCAATGAACACATCACTTCATGAGTTCTTTTGGGCTTGCAGTAGGCACTCTTGGACCATCTGACTGCCATCCAACTTCTTTGACGCTTTGCCCTTTTGCTATTCCTTTGCATGGACCTGTCACTTTGTCCCTATTGTTCTTTGTTCATGGTGATTTACCATACGAATTCGGTCGTTCGCGACATCGCTTCGTTCGGGACGGACTGGGGATCCTCAGGCCTCGGCGACCTGCAAGCGTCCAGCCGTGGGCCCCGGTGTTGGAGCCACGAGTCGTGAGAAGCGACGGGAGCGGTCGTAAGACTTAGGCCAACATCCTCAGGTGATGGTCATAGCTGTTTTTGATGCTGTTTGCTGTTCCCCCAGGATGGTGGCCCCATCCTCATCCTTGGCTCTGCGGATCAAATCCTTTTGGATCTGCAAGCATGTACCAATGTTCATGTCGCAAGAGTAAGAGTTCTTGAAGTCTGGTGCCCCTCTCAAACAATCAGAACAGATCAGAACATATTCCTGCCTAAGGCCTTCAAGACTTTGGTGTTGCGGTGTTGATCAATGTTTGTTTTTTGTCCGCCCCATGTCCTTATTGACTGAGGCAGGAGTTGTTGCATTTCTCGAAAAAGTTTGGTGCTCAGCACAAGGTAGCTACACCGATACACCGGTAGCTGATTTTTCCTAGCAGGGTATCAGATTGCTGTGTTCAACAATAGGTAGACCTCAGCGAAGCATGGATCGGGTACTGGGAAAACCATTTTGGGGAATAGCACCGGTAGACAATGGAAAGATGATGGAAAGATGTACGTTCAAAACCCTTGACTCGTTAGATGTTCGATCTCACCAAAGGTTTAGCAGCTCCTTTTGCACAATCTGGGCTTGTCCAGCCATCAGGCTGGGAATGCTTCCTGGAGAGTGGTGGAAAGGCCAGGCCTCTCGGGTGGTGGGAAACTCCAGCCGGTGCCATCTAACAGATGTGAGGAGAAAAACAACACCCCCAACTAGTCTAACCAATTGCTACTGTAGCAACATCCAGAATCAGAATTCGGACTCCTAATTACCAGCCACGAAAGTTCCCACGCGAAGGAGCACAGGCTTCACAAGAGAAGTCATGGATCTGGGACTGTCTGGGACATTTCTAGGGGCGAAAGCTACCAAGTCACCAAGTTGAAGTACCCAACAAGGCTAACACTAAAGAGAAGGGAGAGGAGAGATCCCCACCAGCACCCTCCAACAGGTCTCCCTTGGTGGCTTTTGGAGACTTAGACATGGGAACATGGTGACCTGTTGGAACATGAAGGCATATTATACTGAATATATGGATCCTTTCTTTGGGCAGGATCGTTTTCTCGTCCAAAAGCACAACGTCCTCTTCTCGTCCAAAACGCCCTCTCTCCGAGCCACAGACGCGCTACCCCCGTGACGCGGAGACCGGGAGCTCCAGGTCCTTTGCAAAGCCGAGAGCTTTGAGATCCTTGAGGAGCCCAATGTCGCTCCTTGCTGCGATTGGAGGGTCAACGCGCGGGAGTTTTGCTCGTTTGGAGTGGCTAAACTCAAAGATGGTCAGGGTTGGAGGTCTTGGGTCTGTGGAGTTTTGTATGACTTATTTGCCTGATTGATATCGTGTACCTGGACAATCCAAGCCGTTTTTTTGCGGCTGGGGCAATTAGATGTAATTCGTCTTGAGTCTTGGTTTTCCCTTGCGGGATACATGTGCGTGGGGGACTCAGAATCTTGGTGGGAAGCCAACATTGGTGATTCACTGTTCAATGTTTAATAAGATCGTGTCGCTGTTCCATCATGTGTCTTAGTAGTCTTAGTAGTTGACCTTCCGTTGTGTGGACCATGAGGGTGCTGAGGACGACGTTTCGACGTTTCCTTTTTTGATCCCATCCAATCTTGCTGCAGGATAGGTGATTGAAAGTTTCAATCAGTTTGCAACTCCACACTACATGTAATGCAGTTTTGTTGACCAAATGTTGCCGTCCGTCGAACAAACTAAACACTCAAATGATTTGGGACATTGACTTTGGAGATCCAAAGCAAATGTGCCCATCAAAAGCAAAGGCGCCATCTTCATGGACCGATTTGCCCGTCCGCTTCCGCCACGATTGAGGCCAAGCGCAAGGCTCCCGACCCGCCGAACGCGCCCGTGCGGCGCGGCCGGCGGCCGGGCCGCGGTCGAGGGCAGGCCAGGGGGGGGGGGGCGGAAGGTTGGAAGGTCTAGTGCTCAACAATCACCGCTCCAGTCATTCCAGTCACCAGGTGTTTCATGGTGTTGAGTCTGATTGGTTTTGTCCGGTTTCCTGTACTTGTTGGAGCCACGAGCCACAGATACTATTTTACAAGAATGGCAACAGCGAAGCAGCGCCATGCAGGCTCCGCCAGCTCAGTGTAGTCCTCAGTAGAGTCCTGTGTGAAGAATGCAGACATGGGTGTGTAGCAGCTATCAGAGACCTCCGCAGTCATTGGGCCAGGGTGTCTTCTTAAAAGCACCCCATAGACCCCAAACCGTGCTTTGCAAGCGCCATGCACATCGAAACCTTCGCTCCTCCGGACCGGACAGGGCCGATGTCGACGCGTCGAGGTTGGACGAGTCTGACTGAGCCGAGCGAAAAAGAACAAAAGGGGGAGTCGTCTGACTGAGCCGAGGAGGGTGAGAAGGGTCGAAAGGGTCGAAAGGGTGACAGTGAGTCGGTGGTGTTTTTCTTTTCAAATGCCATCGCTATTGAGGTTGGAGGCCATCACTGATTGGAGGCCGTCGCTATTAGGCTTGAGGCCATCGCGATGTTTTCTATATGTTTTCTTCTGTTGGCCCATCGCTAGCTCTGGTGAAGTTCACGTCCATGCGCACGTAATGTTCGTGGTCTCGGTGCTGGGGCGGTGCGGTGCTGGGGCGTTCACTTCTTGAAGAGTTTCAAGGCAGCCCCAACAATCGCTCTTGCCTATACCAGGCAATACCCGGTTTGGGTTTTCATGGCCCTCTCAAAAGGTTCGGCTCGTTCGGTGACCCCCCAAAACGGCTTTTTTGTCGGCTCAGTTCCCGAGACCGAACGACGTTCCACGCCATGGCGCGATGGTGACATCGCCCTACTCGCTGTTGACACTGGCAGCCGTTTGACTGCAGGGACGTCTTGGGCCCTGACTGGGGACAGTTTCTGTCTGTTGGTTGGTCAGCAGATTTGAGATGATTTGAGGCAGATGGCCCTGTAGATATCGTCGATCTGTATTAGAATAATTCCATGAACCTCCAAACAAACAATATATACAATGGCGATTGTCCTGTTGGTTTTGACATGTTGTGCCTTCATATGCCTTTATTCCATTTAGAGGTGGCACACAACAACCCCCTGGTCGAGCTGTCGTGCTCATCTTCCAATCTTTTCAGCTGTGAGCTGCGATGCCTCCGGATTAGGATCTATATCTTTGCACAGGAAAAGCTAAATGAGATGCTAAATGTATGGAAAGCAAGGCCCACCACCTTCCATGTGGAATATATATATATACCATCTCTCTGAGAAGGTGAGGATCTTCGCGGATGGTTGGATGAGGTGAACCAAGATGTTTCAAGCCTCGAGGGCAACACCGCCACCGGAACGATGGTCCATTCCCAGCTGACAAGGAGGGCCCCGACGTCCGAAACCCGAGGTCTTGATACCTCTCGCGGCGGCCAGTGCAGACCACACCGCCCTTCAACACTTGGATGCAGGCTTTTTCGGCGATCGCGGTGGTGGGCTGCCGTCCAAAAAGGTCGGAGGCTGATGTTAGATCCAAAGTAGAGGGAGTGCAACCGCCTGGATATTATAAGTCTAGTGACGCTAGTGATATCAATCTTGAACCAATATTTAAGTAATATTTGGAACCAATATTTGGGTCCTATTGACTCACCATCCAGGATCTTTGGCTCCTCTTCATCAGATCTCAGAGATCTCCACCAGGGGTTGATGATTCTATCCTTCCATTGATGTTGGTCTGAACCCTCAATTTCTTGGATTGTCTCAAAGCCCTTCTAAGTCAGTGGTAGCACCCACCATACCTTCAATGATCTTCAATTTGACAATCCCCTCTTTTAGAACAAGAATGAACTATAGAGGAGAGAGGTCGTTGGCGGTTCGCCCTTGCGGAAGGTTTGCAATTCAGGTCAATTCTGAGGGCTTTCCTGGATGAAGGATGATTCAAGGTGATTCAAGAAGGATCCACAACAGATCCGAGGGCGTCCAGCACTAGGCCCTGTGCCGTCACGCATGTGCAAATCCATGTGCCATCATGTCATTGGCGCAGGCAACAGCACGGAGGCCGCCTGTCAACGAATTCATGGCGTTCAGCGAATCCCGATCGAGTTTGTTTGACATGACCCGGAAGGGTTGAAATGAGGCTGCCAGAATTCCTTAGAACCAATCGCGAATCAAGTGCATGCGATTTGTTCTTTTGCAGGAAAACGATACCGATATTATAAGTATGATGCCCATGAACAGTCCTGGCTTCAATCGCATCAAGACTCAAAAGTGGAGTTTGGTGGGTATATAACCCATGCTTTCCTCACAGCCATGGCGGGCTGCACCATCAAGGGGCAACAGAAATAGCAACATGTCTCTATCTTTAGACCCTCTAGACGTCGGTGAAAAAGGAGACTTTTCCTGCGCAACTTCTGACAAGGATTCGATGAAAGGATTGCCAGAAGATGATATGGCCATGTGAATGGATGTGAGTCTACTGCATTTGGACAAAAAAAGCAACACCTTGACTGAGAAGCCTTTTCTGCGATATCCAGATGGACCTAGGTGGTGCAGTAGCAACAACTGCCGACCAGCAACAGATCCGTTGGGCCTTTGCTTCAGGTTGTTGTGCCAAAGCTGTCTCACGGCCCCGTTTTCCTGAAGCTGAAGAGTGCGGAGACGGCAGGCGCAAGAGCATGCAAGAGCTCATGCCAAGTGCCTGAGGGCAACATTTATTATATACCTATCAAATTTGCTGATATGATTGGTATTTGACGATTTTGACGGAAATGTGATGTCACCACTCCCATTCCCCAAACAGCCTGAAACCAAGAGAATTTGATGTTAACAATGGCAGAGTTTCGAGGGACCGTGGCTGTTGTTGATATGACCCTAGGCTCTGGACCGTGTGATTCGCTGGGTAGCAGAAGCTGGACAGATGGTGTGACTGTGGGAATCCAGGACGAAGTGGGAGGAAGTCTTTCTAGTGGCATAACAATATAGTGGCATATGGCACTCAGTCCCTGCTATGCCATGCTGTGGACATGTTGGGTCATCGACTTTTGCGTTCCCCCTCTTCAGTGGGTCCTGAGTCGGGACCATTTCCAAATTGCTGTGTATAAACAGGAATTTGTTGCAGAATACGGATCCTATAGGTCCTCACCACCCTCACCATCCATGTGTCCGGCCACGGCAAAACGGCCAGGCAGCCAGAAAGGTGGGGTGCTGGGCAGGGCCGGCCACGGGCTCGCAATGCACAGATTAACACATTGGCATTGGCGAATTTGTGTAAAAGGTGGAGACCTGTGCCGTTGCTCATCAGATGTAGGGCGACAGGGCCCCAGTTTTCAAACTCGTCGCCGAGCAATCATTCGGAATTCAACACTAGTTTTCACTTATATATATATATACATTTTGGTCGTGCCATTCTTTGGCTAAGTGAGGGAGAGTTCCCGGTTGTCAGCATATATCATGAAGCAAAAGAAAAAAACTTGTTCCAACTGAACATTTGAACTATGGCCCATCTCCGCAGTATCAGGGGGGTTCTACTAGGCTTTGGCCCGTAGCTCATTTGGTCAATCAGCAGAATGCTCAACCTATAGAGTTCCAAGTGATGGACTTTGGACATCCTTCCAGCCAGGTGATCCAGATTGCTACTACATCATGGGCTTGCCATGACCTTAGAGTGGTTTGCAGGCAGAGTTTGTTTCTTTAATTGCCTGCGGCGTGCTCCGAATTTCTTGTCCCATCGAAGCATGGCCGGCGTTCAACGTGCTTGTTTGCCCCCGCGGCAGACTAAGAAAGCACAATCATGTGTGCAGAGAAACCTCCTGTGCAGAGCTAAATTGGTGTTAGGGAGAAGTGCACCAGCTTCACATGCACCAGCTCAAAGAAACGGTGTTCTTTAGTGTTCAGGATATGAATCTCTGGATGTGTCTTTTTGTGTGTCTTGGAATCCAACAAAGGTCCGTACTCCAAAAGGGCCCTTTAATACCTCCGGACTATGGACTCAAAAGGACAGCCTGAACTCTTTGTGACTGGACTCAAACCTCTCCACCCTTATTGAGGTTTCAACCGTTCGAACGGCCCAGTTGTTGACCATTTGTGCATTTCGACCTGCCAGCGGCCGGACCATTCTGTCAATTCGTGTGGCCGGAAGTTCGGTCAAACTGTCCAAGCCACATGGTCCAAGCAACGCACGCGTTCCACGTGCAAATCGGCGCCAGGAGCAAGTTCTCTTGGGCCTTTATCTGCGATCTCCTCGCCCTGGCCCCTCGGAACGGACTCCGTCCCTGAGACGGGTGGCGGGGCCCGAAACGGTCCGCGGAGCCGCGGAGACTGTGATTCGCGTTCGATGGCTAGATGGTGTTTGGCGAACAACATGTGATATAATATATACTATTGACTATTGTTCGCCAAACAACTTGACATCCTCAGAAGGCAGTTACTTAGCCCCCCAAAAAAACACCTGCCTCACCTTCTCAGGAGGTACTTGGAGGTAGGGTTTCCAAGGGTCTCAGCAACCCATTGTGGCATTGCCATTGGCAAATGGGGACACCCACCATCGACATGTCTTTGATCAGTCGAGAATGAGATTTCTCACCATCATCATGATTTGGTCAAGAATCACAATTAATTCTGACGGGTGACACCGCTTCGTATAGAGGTGGAAACCTGTCCACATCCTGTTTGTCCACATCTCTCAATGTGTTTGCCGAAACCAAAAAGAAACAAAGCACATCAAACCCAGGCTCATGCCCCAAATATATCCTTTATAAGGTTGTCATTTGGGTACCTAGTGTCAGTCCTATAATCACACTAAACTGCAACCGACCGTAGTTTATGCGTGCAATCTTTTGCAGGTCTTTCCATACTTTTGGATGACTACAGACTACAGACGGCGGCGCCGTTGTGTTCCTATGTATTGACCAGGGCTCAGCTCACTTTTGTTGAATATAGAGTCCACGAGAGAGATGTACTCGAAGGGAGCTTCATCAACAATGGTTCCACTCAAAGATCATGCTGAAGTTTTGCCAGATCTCTTCACGTTCAACCATCGCCGTTGAAAGCATGGCCGTGATCTCAACATGGCCGTTCCGAAGATTTCGATGATACTATAATATTATAATATATATATATATTATATTATATTATGTATTATATATAACGCATATATAATATAATACACAAGTGTTTGTTGTTCATGAAAGACGTCCGAGGTGGTGATCCTACTGTGCATACCGCTCCTCTTGTCCTGCTCCAAACGGAGGCCACACGAGATGCCACGGTTTTTTGGTGCGTTCACTTAGTGCCAAATAGCTCAGAAGGTGCAACATGGACATGTCACTTTGTTTTTGCTGGACAGTCGGTTCAATGGAAAGAACAACATGCAAAACTTCCTTTGATAACTCCTTTGACAACCTGACTGCGGTCATACATATATATATATATATATCCGAGTGACTTGATTCATGAGTCTAGGAAGTCTAGGACCCGGACTATCCATCACGGATGAACTTCAGCACCAGGGTCATTGACTCAACGACCATGTTGAGTGGTTGGCTAGGTGGCACCAACCCCCTACTTGGTTGGCTGATATTGGTTGACTCATCAACAAGTTGGTTCATTCACGGAAATCCACCGGAACATGAGTGCCCTCCACTCCTTCTCCAGACCTTTGGGGGCGTCGATGTTCGAGTTCAAGCTCTTTGGCGACGAGCCCAACCCGTCCCTCAAGACACCTTTTTCCACGTATCACTCATTCCAGATGAGCCACTAGTGCGAAAAAGCGTTGCGCCTCTTCTCGCGCGATCTCGCTGGGTTCGGGTGTTCAGGTGTGAGCTGTGAATGGTGAGAGTGTTGGAGTAGCACGAGTTGTGCCACGATGACATTTGATGCCTACAGACTTGGTGGTGACTGTAGTATAATATAGTCAAAAGAGGGGGCCCTGCTGAAGATTACCAGGGAGGCCAACCTACATCCACCTACCGGGGGCCCTGGAGCTGCAGGTTTCTAACGAACTGCCGCCTACGGCCTGACCCCATTTCAACCACCCCTGGCCTGATCGGTCGAAGACAGAAACCCCAAAGACCTTGACTACCCGAACGGATGGACGTGGAACAGACCCGCTTGGTATCACTGAATTGGTATTTATAGTGGCATTTCTGTGATATGTGAACATGCTCATGAGGATATAGAGAAGGGTTGTCCAAGGGTCCAGTACATGCTCTTTTGCTGAAAAAGCTTTGAAAAAAACAGATCTTCCGGGAAACACTAGCTTGCTACCACTGTGCTGTGAGGTTCTTGTCATTCTCCCGTCGTTTTGACCAATGGTCCGATGGCTGGGCATTTGGCTCAGTGGGGCAACGCGCTACCCGCTGTCACCCCGCTTGGACGTGCAGACCGTTCACAACGAAGTACAGCCAGGCAAGGGGTGCCACCATCTTTTGTGGAATTGAGCGGTTGGTTGGAGAATGCATGGAGTGTTTGGGATGGAAGTTCCATGGGTCACTGAGACGGTAATTTCACCGGGAGACACGGTAGACCAGCACAAGTCCACGGTTTCGGGTGGTTGATCAAGCCCGGCTCACCGTGACCGTCTTGCTTTCCATACCCCTAGGGATCCAACTACCTTCTCAGAAGGTGATTGGAGACACTGATATATGGGTTTGGAGGGTCCAGTTGTACCGTACCTTCTCAGAAGGTACGGATCTGGATCATCTGGATCCGTAGGGATACAATGACCACCCGAAGTGGGTGGTGCTGGGAAGAGGATCTACTCTACCAGGTGGTGCAGGGATTGCATTGACTTTTTGATGGTTCACGACTGATCTGTGTTTGCCCAGCTTGTCCACAGATCCTAACACATTTTCCGCAGTGAATGGAGAATACTGCGATATATATCGAGAGAACATGTGTTGCTTTACGACTTTACTGCTATATTATTCTTGTGAATATCATGCCCTTATCCTCGCGTCTTGGAGGTCCCACTTCCGGGAACCACTTGCTGTCGGAACCGGACAGTATGTGAACTCCCAGACTCGGATTGGCAAGCTCTTACATGACCACACAAGACCATGCGAAAACAAGAACAGGCAGATCTGGCTTTGGCGGCTTTGAGATTCTTTAAGTACTGTAATGTACATAGGACCCTACACTTGATATACAGAGGATTATAGACATCAATAGGTGCCAGAGGTACTATTTCACAGGTACAAAAGTGACCCAGGTCCTAGCTTGGTTGTGGAGATTCTTCGAAACCTCAAGTGCTCCGTGCCAGGATGGGTATCGCCCGCTTGGCGTTGCTACTGGTGGGAGCCCCGGAAGCTCGGATCCGTTGAAGCTCGGTGAACACGGAGCTGTAACGACACAAAGCTCTTTGGAGATGACCCAACAGAGGGTCGTGGTGGTTCCATGACTATGATATGTTGTTTTTTTGCAAAATGTCCATGCACATGGGTTAACGTAGGCGGGGGGGGCACGGAGACTTTGTATGTTTAAGAGTTTTGCGCGCAGAGACATAACTTTTAAGCTCACCTTGGACGTCGCTGGTCCCAGTCCTGCTGTGGCACCTTTAGAGTTCCATCCCATCCCGATCCAAGAGATTCCGAAGGTAGGTACGGACGGACCCAGAAAACCCTAAAAATCCACCGAACGTCAAGGTATGTGGATCCTGCTAGGCAATTTTGACATGCTGCACAGACCAAAACCTGATGCTTTGGATCTGCATCTATAGTTCCTGGAGATCTTTGTTTCAATTCTGATGTGGTCGCAGTCATGTTGCCCATGTTGTGGGTGTTTCTGTGTTTCAGTTTCCGGGCACCAGCACCAGTCCGGGCATGTAAGTTGAATTCATCTCTCGCTATAGCATTTGAATTCCCTTTGGTGTGAGACAATCAAAATCCATATCTTCGAGTCTATGAGACCTTTCCCTGAATAAAGCATCCCAGAAATGGCTGATTACGCGTGGGTTGTCTCGTGTGCACTTGCAGGTGCCTCTGGCAGTCCATGCCGCCAGCCCTGTGGGGGAACTCCACGGATTAGAGCTGGTGTTCGGGTTTTGGAGGAACCTTGAAATTAGCCTGGATGTTACTTGGACCCTGCCTAGCCGTTAGGATTTCTCATGGGTTCTGTGGGAAAATTGTGAAAGGAACCTGGTTATTGGGTTGGATGATGTTGGGTGACTTTTGTTGGAGATTTTTTGGAATCCAAACTGATCCATTTAGCTCAACATCCCAAGTTTGCCGCTGTGAGGCAGTAGGGGCAGTACGGGGCATTGTTCAAGAGGTATTGGAAGCTTTCGAGCGATGTTGGGTGACCCGACCCTTGAGGGTTTATCTTCAAACAAGGAATCACACAATTAAAGACACTACATAAGATAAAAAAAAGACAGTACAACAACACTCCGAGGCATGGAGTGGAATTTGTGTGTTTTCCATGGTTACAAGATTTACAAGATGTTATAGAGTCCAGTTGGGCTTCACTGAAATACTGTGGACATCCGTGGACATGATACGATGTTTTTCGACAAGGGGCCACGCCTTGTAGGAGAAGGAGTGCCGCAGATGAGTTTCACCGGACCTCCCTGACGCTCTTCTCCATCACTGATTCTTCAGCGGTTGGTTGATGCTGGTTGCTGCCAGGTGGGTAAGGTGATTACCTTGCTAGAGAACATGGAAGTCAACATCGCCGATGAGGGCAAGGCGTGGGAGGGGCAGCTTCCTACGATAGGCAGGAGCCTCACTAGGCAGATGAAGCACCCAAATTCCAACGAGCTGTCGATTCTCGTCAATCATGCACGCATACCGACGCATGCCGTATCCCTGATTCTCCAAATTGACATTGACCATCAAGATATTTTTGCCAGACTACTCATTGAACCCAAAAATCATCGACGACAGTCACTGTGAGTCACTTTCAAGAGCCAATAAGGCTATTGAAACCAAAACAATTGTTGCCCAGACTGACCATGTTCACCATGTCCATTGAACCACCCAGACAGGTCTTTTTGTTCCACCATTCTTTGGGTTCAGTCGTCCCCAGGCGGAGAAGGAAAAGATGGCCAAATACTCTGCCATGTGCGAGAAGAGGCACGGCTGGATCAAGGGCCAAGAGCCGCCTTCCTGAACAGCTGAAACGATTCCCAAGGAAGCTTTGGTCGTTACTAGAAAGCTTTATTAGTTAGCGATGGCCTCCAAACCTAATAGCGATGGCCTCCACCTAGTAGCTTCTAGTTACCAGAAAACCGGGACGGTGGTCTCAGATTGTTTCAGACCGATTCCTCCCTTCAGGGGCATGTGTTTGGTTGGAAGTCCCTCCGGAGGATTGGGAGAGACCAAGGGAGGCAACACACCGGAGCTTTGAAAAGCTCCGGTCTCGAGGCACCGGTGTTTGGTTCTTTTCCGTGGGCTAATATGTGATCTTTTGAAACCCATCATCGGCTCGGTGCCATAGGTGCATAGATGATCATAGATGATCCACAGATCTCCCTCAAAATCGCACAGCAGGCTTATCCCCTCGGCAGAGGGTTGGTGAAGAAGAATCGTGGACCAACATGGCCATTTTGAGAGTTTCGTCTGCTTTTTCTTGGCCAGCTTTGTGAGAAGCTGCTCCGTTGATTGGAGTAGAACTTCTCCCAAAACATCGGAGATTGTGCTTCGCTTCGCAATGGCACCGGTGCCGCGTGGCGATGGTACTGTACCGAAGCCATCGGCGGCGAGCGATCTCCCTCGCGGCCAGGACTGCAGAACTTAAGTATCAGGCAGCCGGGAGGGCAGGGATGGTTGGCTCATGTATTGGGTCCTTTGAACAGGTGTCTTGAGGTTTTGGGCGACACGGACTTCCGCTGTACTTGATGGCAGTCTTGATGGCTAAATTGTGGGAGTGTGTATTTTGTTATACTGTAGTAGTTTTGTGTGCGTGCTAGTTGTTCTTGTTTTGTTGCTGTTTGCTGCTAACTGCCATGTCGATGGCCTCCATGATGCAGATTGATGCAACGAGAGCATCTCTTTGCTGGCTATGCAAAAGCCAACACTTGTGTCAAATTCAGCTGCTTGGAGTGCTCGATTTTCCATGGACCGCCTCCCCAGGTTATTTGAGCAATAGCAGCCGTCACTGAGACTGGAGAAACAGACTGCTGACAGTCAACTCCAGTTTTTGAGTTTATGACATGCACCCTTTACAAACCAACCAACCAACCAACCAAGCAAGCAACCAAGCAACATCCACAGCTGCGGTCACTCAACAGCCGAAAGCTCTGTGCCGCCGCCGCAGATCAAGACGGCCCAGACGGATGTGGATGAGCTGAGTGCACGCATCAGCAAGGCTGACAGCAAAGCAGAGGCGCCGATAGCGATGGGGTTGGGATGTAGTGAAGTGTTAATCACACGGTTCAGCCATTCATATCTAGGTGATGGTTTCGGATATTTTTATTTTCAACCCTTACTTGGGGATGATTGGACCCTCTGACAAATATTTTTCAAGTCGGTTGAAAACACCAATCAGATATTCAAATAATATGGATAAGTGTTGCATGGTTCAAGGATGTTCATTGGTAATGTAGTTTGGATCATGCACTATGTAGTAATTTGTAGTACACGGCTTTCGGACCGACCAAACATGCGAGTCAGCACATGTTGAAAAACATAGGGAAGATGAGACGACAAGACCGGAGGTTGAGGAAGTCAATCCATCAATCCGAGGGGGCATGCGGCATGGCTATAGGCAAGGCATGGCAAGGCTATAGTGAAGAATTTGTTTGTCATTCCTTGTGTTTCCGCTTGCGGAATGAAGCTCGGGGGGTTCCAAAGAGCTTCAGAGCGACTCAGGCTCTCCAAAGCTGCACTGTTTGGCCCATTCTTGTGGCACAAATTGAGCTTTTGCATCATGACTCATGACTCATGACCATTATTTATACGGTATTATAGATGGCACTATAGATGGCATAGGCCAAAAGCAGCACCCCTGCATGAGCTGATCTAATCGCCTAAGGCGTGCATTGCTTCAGTACTCATGGTCTCAGATTGCAGTGGTATCAATGAGAAGATCCTTCAGTGAAGACTTAGTTGGATGCCTGAAACTGAGCGGCCAGGCAGCCACTTCCAGCATCCAGGAGAAGCAAGTGAGCATTGCCACGGATCAAGGAGACTTGAAGGTGGGACAGCTTTCTGGCTTTGCTTAGGGTCATGTTGGTTTTCCCTATATAGACATCTCTATATTTGTATAGATCATTCCCTATATATATATATGCAAAATTATATATATATATATCAATCCCCTTCTGCGGAACGATTTATGTTTTTTAGTCCGGTTCCTGGACAGCAAATCCCATATAGGCTTCCATCGGCTCGGGGCGAAGGACTTCCGCATGGTTGGGGGGATGGCGCGTTCGTCCGTTCCGTCTCCGTTTGTGTCTTGGCCGTTGAGATCATGGAAGACCTTCACACGAGATCACACGAGGATTCTTGACTCCCAGACCATTTGCCCCTTTTGAGGCCTTGGAGTCTTAGACTTCAGAATGTTTGCACTATCAATGCCAAAGCAGGCCTTCCACCCTTTGCTGCAGGAGATCAAACAGGACGTAGAGTTGCATTCGACACATTATTGCTGTGTTCTTATAGAGTCAAGAATCATTTGTGAGGGTATCCATGCAGTAGTAATGCTATTTCTGAGTGGAGTCAAGTTCGACCAGGCCCATCTAATTGAACTGCATGCCGGGTGCCATTTTGGGCGACAATTTACTATCCAAGCCTGCCCGAGGGTTATTGCGCCTTTTTTGCTGGGTTCGACCTTTGTTCTGTCCACTGCCAGCACAGCACAACTCGACAATGAAGATCTCCTTCGCCTTTGCTGCCAGGCCGCCGGCGAGGTCCGGCAGAAGGAGAGGGCTGTTTGGGGGCCCCAGATCAGACGGGGGAGGTGGACCTGGAGGTCTCGGGCGTTCTATTGAGACCCCGCCCGAACCTCTTTGGCTCCTGGCAATTTTGTAGTGATTCAGAATTACTTTTTGGCTCAGTCTTGCCACAGACAAGACAAGACAACTTGCTGTCTCGCGCGCCTCCAGATGAGCTATGCATCCTTTTCCGATGGAGCTGTATCTCGAAAGTGCTCGGCTGGAACTCGAGTTGGAAGGACATGTGGATTCGTCAGATATTCCATGATGTTCCATGCTGTTCGATGTGAACTCCTGCCGGGCACCAGCCAGAAGTCATTGAAGACATTGGTCCTGCGCTCAACCTCCGTAGCGGTTTGCCCCAAAGGAGTGGGATTTTGTTAGCCCTTCCGGCGGCCTGAAGATCCCTTTCGGCGGCCGAGGAAGGTCCCACCCGAGGAGATTTCGGTGGATCTCCAAGCGCCGGGTGCCGGAAGTCCCGTGTGTCCCACGACCCTGCCGGCGTTCCGGCGTTCCGGGCCTGAGGAGTTTACGCAAGCGCAGAAAGAGCTTCTGGAGGCCGGGAGACATCACAGTTTCTGCAAGTGGATTTGGAGGGTCCAACTACAACTTTTGATCATGATCCTTCTGAGGACCGGATCCATTGGGAATGAGATGATTTTGGGAATGTTCTGTTTGCTACTGGTACCTCAAACCAGGGTATCGAGCGGGTGCTGAAGAAGCAGGTCCTTTTCAATTCCCCGCATGTTTTGAAGGTCAATTCTGCTGTGGAGCGGGCCATGTCCACGCTGGAGAAGGACAGACAGCTGTGTCGATAGCTTGGCAAAAGGGCAATCAGAAGTTGTTGTTGGTTCTCTTTGAGGCACTCAACGCAACCAGACACAGAGGGATTTAATCAATGTTGGTATCCACGTGTTTTAGATGCCTTTACTTTAGCATGTGCAGATCCAGGGATACAGAAGACTTCTTTGAACATCCAGTGTGTGATGAATGATGGTTGGTATCAACCAGCAATTCATTGGCCTGGCCATCCACATATTTCTGTGTGCTTTCTAGCCAAGGTCATCCAAGGTCACACTTCCATCACCTACTTCGCAGAAGGATGTCTTTCATTCTTCTCTATCATCTCTATGTTCATTCTACCAGATATTACAAGTGTGGGAATGAGGTGTTGATCTGGGTGGAACTCTTCCGCAAAAGACATGGATGCTGTGGATGATTTGAGTTGGTATGGATGCTTTGAGTTTAGCTGGTCAGCTGGAGTCATAGTCTGACTGGGTGACTTCTTCCTTTTGCCTTTGCTTGGTTCGATCACATTGCCAGGAAGAGAGCAAGAGCAGTAAGGATCCCAGGAAAGCAGGAAGACCAACACCAACGAGAGCGATTCTGCAGTTCTTGTTTCAGTGGTGTACAATGAGAGTTTGTGGTGTACTGTGTGTAGAACTTCTTGGCGCTCAGTTGCATGTATGTAGGGAGATGGTTCTTCCATTATTTTAAGAACCAGATGTTCCAAGCCTTAAGTCTCTCGATGTTTTTGTGCTTCGTGCCATATGGGGATCATCATCGGTTGTGGATGAAACCACCGTTGATGGACGGATCCATCGCGCCGAATACTGCACGGCGGACCCCGGTAGCAATACTGTGTTGTAGTAGATGCTGCAGCAGTACTTAACTTCTTCTGTGTGTATAAATACAGAATCCTCAGTGTTGGTATTCCTACAGTCGCCTCGAATTGAGGCGCTCTTTTCCAAGTCAAGAGCAAGGGAGACTCTCGGCTGAGTTGATGGAGATTGTGGCTGGGTTGGTTGGGATTGAGGGACCAGCAAATGAGGGACTTGAGTGCCAGATCCAGCCGAGCTGGAGCTGGTCTGTGTCCACCATTTGTTCGGATACACTGATATGATCTAATATGCGACACTGTGAAAACACGTATAGCTGCCCAAGTCCCAAAGGATTCAAGGCTGTCCGTTGGTTCAGTTCCGATCCGCACCAAGCGAGCTGAAACGGCAGGTTGGAAGCCTCATCCAGGCCGTTCAGGCGGGAGCGATCGGATCGGGGAGTGACAGGATCACCTGGAGCGAAGGGTCGAATGGAAGGAGCAAGAAATAAGAATGGTCATTCAACAGGCGTGGATTGAGTGCTTCTTATATGTATGAACTGCCGGACTGTGGTTCATGGACGGTTTATGCGGGTTTGTGCACCTACCCCAAACTCACCTGCATGTGAGGTAGAAGCCCTATACTCTTCCCAACTTCCCAAGCTCCTGAGGTTTTGGGGAATTGCGCTTTGAGGGAATGTGCCTGGGATTCAAACAAACTAAAACATACTTGAAGGCTATATCGACCCCTTGAGTTTCTGCTCGCACCTCTTTGGGCGACTGAACCAGAAAGCTTTTGCTTGGAGATTTGCATCATGCTCAAGTTGATACCTCAGATAGAAGGGCACAGTCGTGGTACTGGCGCTCAAGACCGGATAGCTTTGCTCAACTCGCGAGTTCCGTACCCTGGCCATTCCGCCGCTCCAGGCCATGTTGGATGCTTCCATGATCGGGCACGAGGAGCGAACTGCCCAACCACCGGCCGATTGAGCCCTGGGCATCCCGGAAACCCGGAAACAGGATTTTTGCAATTGCAGTTCCGATTCTGAAAGGGGATGGTGGCATGCGGATGATTTCTGAAACAGCCTGCTGATGTGTGGCTTCAGGGTTTCACCCCCCCACCAACGGGTTGGAAAGCGGCTGCTAAGCGGCTTGAGTCCCACACCTGTGTTCGGTGTCTTTGGAACCCCTCCAATTGACCCCCACCAATGGGTCGTTGTATATTTTCTGTCCTCCAGGGGGTCGTTGTCTGGGGGGCGCGAAACTGGCCTGGCTGGCAATTGTCCCCGATTTTGTGGCTATTGCTTTGGATAATGTGTTGAAGCTTTCTTGAAGATAGATCTATTTGATTTTCTGAGTCACACTTGGAACTCCGAGCTTCTCATGTTGGAAGTGTTTCGTCGTGTTTTTTGGTGTTTGTGTGTAGGTGCTGTTTGACACAACAAGCCCAGCGGGATTGGTGTGGCTATGGGCCCCAAGCTGCGATGTTGATGTTGTTCGGAGTAAATATGGACACCCAGCCTGCTTCAAATGTGGGATGTGTACTTTCTGGGGTCGACTAGAGTCCGGCGATGTCAACCACCAACATGTTTTGAATTCAACCTGACGGGACTCCTATTAGCCCATTGGAAAATTAAAAGATTTGGATTGTGTTTGTTGTTTTTATATGTTTTTTTCCGGGTCTTGAAGCTACAGTAGATCCATGGCGGTCTCTTCTCATCTTCCTGTGGACTCGTGAAGGTAGGGGAAGTACCGCGTTTGCCTCGAGCTGCGCGCTGGCCTCGCGCAGGATGCAAAGACATTAACATCCTTGGTGCAGGACAGGGGCACACTATGTATGCTGTTCAGATCTTGTCAAGGTCACTTCTCGTTTCCATGGGAAGCCATAAACTAGAAACTAGAAGGACAAGCTTGGACGTGCTGTCGTCCTAGGTGGTATGGAGTGTGTATGGTGCTATGAATGGTTTCCACGATGAACCAACAGATCGTATGAGCCAAGCACCGTCAACATACCAGTTTTGTTTTACCAACTAAGACCTGTAAAATGATGTAAAGACATGCAAAGATCCAAGCAGATTTGCCCAGCCAGGGGAGGCGTGACCCAAAAAGATCATCACAGTCACAAACAGTCCTCGCTACCATTGAGGAGCATTCAACGGTTCTGTTTGTGAGATCTCTCATTTGGACAGAGTTGCAGGTCCACTCCATACGTCCATGATAAGAGTGGCGGAAATCAATTGAGTCAACTTCAGCTCCATGTGCCGCTTTTCATTTGATGCAAAGCCTTGTACGCTGATCCAATCCAAGTTTGCAGGGGTATCCTAAAGAAATCAAGAAATGAACCTCACGAGCATCGTTGATTCCCATCCTGCACATGGTGGACTCGTATATCATCGTCTGAGGGGAAGCGCACTGGTTCAATCTTCTGTGCGGGCAGTCTAACCTTTGGGTTTCTTCAGTGCTTTCTTTGTCAGCGTTTGGATGTTGTTTAGTTTATTGTGTAGTGCAGTACACCAGTGAGTTAAACGATGTCAAACTAATGGCCGTTGGCCAACAAAAATGACAAAGTTAGAAGTTCTGCTGGGAATGCTCAATGATCCAATGTCTTTGCAAGTTCAAACTGTGTGGACCTGGACCCGAACACATATAGTTCCATCACTTGTTCGCGCTGCCTTTAAAGCTCTTCTGAAGAGAGACAAATAGATTATGCAAGAAGTGCTAAACAGTTTCAGTGGCACAGTTGACATTTCTTAGTTTGCGTGATTTCCAGATAAATTGCCAAACATGTAACATGTGGAAGAAAAACCAATGGTTCTAGACATTTCTAGAATGTTCTAGAGCAAGAGCGGACTAATATTGCAGCTAAAGCATGCAAAATGTTTGATATGTCCGGAGAATCCGACTTGCTTAACATTAGGGATTCCATTCTGAAGAATCTGTGCGGCTTCACGCTTGGACCCACATCCAGGTCTGTGCCGTTCTGCACCGGACCAGGTCTGTGCATTGCCTCGACGCACCACTCATCGCTGACGTCGCGCCACGTGCATCGCGTTCAGCGACGCTCGAAACGGTGCCACGCGTTCGAACGCCTTTCATCGGCGCGAATCGAAGATAGGACTCAGACCTGCAGCCAGACGTCGCGGTGCGGAGCTCACAACCTGCGACAGTTGCGGCCGGAGGGATGAGGGATGAGGGTCCTTTTGATCGAGATCCTGTCGTGAAAGTGTGTGTCAGGAAGGTTGGTCACTAAACTCAGCACCAATGGACTCGCAAGATCTCGCAAGCATGTTCGTTTGCGTGCACACCCTTTTTGATTCGCTTGATTTGAAGTTTTATCATGCAGGAGGTTGGCTTTTGAAAGGCAGAAATCTTGCAGCTTCAATTCCACTCATTTGCCATGCTCCCGGCTAGCATCCTGCCTGGGTGTTGTTCGCCAACCTGCAGAGCCCATGCCTACTTTGCAGCCCCCTAATTGCAGATCTGCCATCACGTACTCCCCTGGGCTCTCAAAGAAATTCAACTGAGATTTGTCAGCATACAACGTGAGGCAATCATCAGCTGCACAAGATCTAATCACTTGCCTGCAGTGTTACTAAATGTATATTGACGCGGTAGTCAACGCGGTATGTTGCTTGACATACAGGCATTTGCTGTGAGCACTTCTCCAGAAACCCTACCAGATTGAATTCGGCATCAAATGCAGCCAATGTTGAGGCCTACAAAAGCAAGAGTGTGGGCCCTGTCCATTGTGGCCGGGTGTGAGCATTGCTGTGGACGGTGGGCTTTGCCACTGTTGTGGCTGGACCTTTGAAACGAAGCAATGCATGTGGAACCTGAGATGCCACTAATTGAGACAATGCTGGCAATGCGATCTTAAATCCACTTCTGACCTGCAGTTGGCATCCATGATATGTTTAAAGGCAATGCCTGGACACTTGAACGTCATAGACCATGACTTCGATGGGGACCTTCTTCGGTCAATCACTTGTCATGTTAGATTTCAACTCTTCTTCCTTTCAACCCGGTGGTTTGATTGGACAATTGGACAAACCATCTATTGGAGAAACAAGGCTTTACATCATGGTGGATTGAATCAATGTGTCCTTTAGTCTCAATATTGGGGGCAAGACGGGCAAGATACATTGCTTGATGAAAGCTTTCTGAAATCACAGGGTTGATGGACATAAGTGTTTGCAGTTCTGTGAAATGATCTTTGGCACACTCACACTCTTGAGCGAGTCCACGCAGTCCATTTTAAAACAGTCATTTACGTGGGTGGCTTTTAGTTTGGCTGAACCACGGATGCTTGGCATGTGATTCGCCTTGGACATACATGGCCAAATGACATGGCTTTTTTGTTGCGCATGAAATTGTTCTTCTCAATCCGGATGCCAAGAGACGGGCATCCAGCGGCCAGAGACGGGTTCTCAGAACTTGTTGGTTAGCCATGACATGGCCATTCTCCCAAAGGGTTGCCATTCACCAGATCATCAGAGGTCCATAGACCCCTCTTTGAGGCCCTGGAAGGTTCGGACGACCCGTCTACCGATGGGTACATACAACACCCACATCGAACCGAAAGAGAGTTGCCGAAAGACTGCAAGGCCTCTTCAGTGACTCGATCAAATCTCGACTTCGCCAGCACATCGCACCTCGCATGTCGCGGCGCGGCGCTGGGATTTTGGGGTCGCTTCCAGGTGGCGGGATTATGGAGATGTTGGAGGACATGATGGACAAGTCCAAGGCTTCGGCGGACGAGACCGGACAGATGCTGGGAAAAACACTGGGGCCAGTTTGGCGTAAAACAATGGAATGCCCGGTACCGGTCAACAATTTGTAGTTCCGAAAGCTCCTGAGGTATTAGATGGGGTCAGAGTTGGATAAGAACATCTTCGCAGTTGTGTTCCTGCGATGATCAGGCGGCCAGCAACTTTGGTGTGAAGAGAGGGGCGATTCTATCGCTGCTAGGGTCCACAGGTCTCCTGTGCAGATTTTGGAACTCAGAGAAGTTCCTTCTCGATAGTGAGATATCTTCGGGAAGACTTACCAAGCCCCAGGAGCCACCAAAATCTGAAGTAAAACATTTCCCCAAACTCACGCATGTCGAACAGACAGCGCTAGACACCGAGTTTTGAAGAGGAAAACTTGGTATTTACAATTTACTGTATATATAGACAAGCGTTTTTGCGGATGGGGCATATCGGGTTTGGTTGGATGTTCCTTCGCCATAAATTTTCAGGTTTTGGTGCTACTGTGTTTCCAACAAGTGAGCGATCAACTACCGAGTCGCGCTGGGTCAGCGTGGCGCCACAGGAAGAGCTGCAGAAGCTCGGAAGGAAGGAGACTGAAGCAAAGCACAGCTATGAGATGCTCACGCAGTCCTTGCAGGAGCACCGGCATCCCAAGAGGCGGTGTTGTCCGGAAACGCCGTGGGCTTTGACGGTCCATGCTTTTTCTTGTGATGTTGGCGGTCCACATGCAGGCGATTGGACGTGTATAAGCAGCAATAATCAGCTATATATATACCCTTATCTTCAACGGCTAAGTTTAACTTCGTCTTTGATTCTCGACTATGTTTTACTTTCCCAAACATCGTCTTTCACACAAGAACTAAGTTTTACTAGAGCCCTGATATGAGCATTCCACGGCTCAAGCGCGTACCGCGCACCTTTTCATGAAGAAAGCGCTTCGGAAGCGTCTGAATCTCAGCTACCGCAATCAAACAATGAGCTGGGGTACATGAGGAGTCGCGGCATCCACTGCCCAGGAACATGTCCTGTTGATGACTATGCCACATATGATGGATCTGGAGGTGCACTGCACACTACACGTACTCCAAGCGTGAAGGTCATATTCTGTTGGATGTATGCAGATCGAGTGTGATTGACACACGTTTCCCTGCGCATGGCTTGGTTCAAGATTAATTTTGGCTAGCGCTGGGTAACAGCATTTCTGCATGCAGCTGTGCATTCAAAAACATATTTTCATGCACTCAATGAATCGTTGACGTACTGTGCCATGTGTATCACTCGACCTGCCCTTCACTCATTGGCTCTCAGCGGCCATGCCCACCTCGAAGCCGTCGGCAGTGCGCAAGGCTGTGTTGAAGGCAGCTAGGGTTGCGACTGCATTGGGCATGTCCCAGTGTGATACTAATTGGAGCTCATGCCACGCAGGTAAGTTAGAGTCAGGGCTGGTTGAGATTTTTTAAGACTTACCATGGCGAACACTCCTGCATACCTATCTTGCAGGAGTTCTATCTGGAGATCCTTCAGGATGGAGACTACAGGCGTGACCGGTACATCGAACTTGGAAGAAAGGAGGGGCTCCCCGCCCATAAGCTCGAGCGGATCCTGGAGGAAGGTGGTGTATCCTGCAGGGCATTGAGATTAATGTGTATAGGTCAATGATAGTTCTCCGTCTAGTGTCGGTACTGTTGGAGAGTTCAAGTCATATATCTCAGGTACCTCCAGTCACCTTTACTTTCCTGGACATCAACAGTAAAAAGGGACTCAATGAAGATGCGGCCTTTCCGGCTATATTATTGCATGTGCGGTGCATCTATCTAGTGCAGAAGCTTCGAAGTGAATTCATGATCCTCATGATGGCACGACCCCTAGTCAACTTTGTCCTGGCCGCTGGCCAGATCCAAACAGAGACCAACACGAAGTTTGCAATGAGCTGGCTACCAAGTTTTGCTTTGGACCCACCCACTGAGAAGGAAGTGAAGGACATAGCCGTTGATACAATGTGCATACACGCATAAATGAACCAAATGAGCAGAACTCATGATGCATGAGTACTTCAGGCTTGTTTGTGTACACATTTCACTATGTGGCTCTAAAACACAGCTCTGACAGGAGGTCCTCCAGCAACTGGCCTTGGAATGGAAGCTCGTGGATCCAAGAACAGCTGATGGAGAGGATACTTGTCTTTCGATGGATCAACCACTCAATGCAAGCATGACCCTGCGACATGGCTCGGTTTAGAATATGTTAAAACCTGGAGCCCCTGCCACTGTGTAGGTTGACCTTCCAGGTACTAGGTCATCAACCATGAACCAATATGGTACAATACCCCGTTCTGAGCGGCCATCTCAGGACTGGGCTGAGACCGAAGGCAACCTTCACCGTGCCCTCGCGAGCAAGATCATTGCACGACATAGTCGCAGCCAGCGTGCGAGGTCAGAAAGCATATCGATCGATTAGTTATTGGTTGGTGAATGCAATATTATTGTGCATCTATTTTTCTTCGGTGTTTTGGTTATGAGTGCAATTCTTCCAGGAGGAGGACAGCAACATGGCAAAATTGAAGCAGCTGCTCACACTGATCTATGAGGACAAGTCGACCTTTCTTTTGAAGTGCAATTGCAATTGAATCCTGATAACGTCATGAAGTGTCTATGAAGTGTCCGTGAGAAAAAAACAGGAGAACGGAGTTGCGAAGAAGACCAAGTCGATCCGCCAGCCACAAATGAAAGACGACAAGGCGTTTTACGGTTTCACTACGGGGTTCAAGTGCTGGATATCTCAAAAATATCTCAAAATAGTAAACATGAAATATCTCGTATTGTCAGTTTCGATCGATCAACAATATTGTAATTAGTGATGAAATGCCACAATCCGTGATCTCTGCCACAGGTCCCTGAAAAGAAGCAGGAAGTTGAAAAGAATAATGAAGCTGAAAAGAACGATAAAGTGCAGCAAGAGAGAGGAGTGACCGTTGCCGAATACATCATCGAAGAAGAAGAAGAAGAGGAAAGTTGGACCGAGGATGAACCGCAAGAAGAAACACCACAACAAGATGCAAAGAGGGCAGATGAAGAGAAAGATCAAACAAAAGCAGAAGAGGCAAAGAAGGCAGAGGAAGAGAAAGCCCGGGCAGAACAGGTGAAAGAAGATCAGAGGAAAGCAGAAGAGGCAAAGAA